TGACGGCGGGATCGAACCCGGGCCGTCGGCGTGCTAGCCGAGCGCGTTACCGCTAGGATAACGCAATATTATAATAATATAATTTCATTAGGAGTATATCTTTAATCTATTGAATAATTTTTTTCATTTGAAATTCCACAGATGTGGCTTCCCCCTTCCGCTTGTTCTATAGTCGGTTAAATTTCAGTTAAACAAATAAAAAACAAAAAGCATTCATACCGAGAAAATAAAATTCACCCCGTCGACTTGATGAACACCCCCGCATTGCGTGTGGCGCCCTCCCTTTCTTGGGGTGCAGTACTACGATGCCGCTGGGGTCACTCAAACCCCCAAAACTGATCCTCTACTTTAGTCAATCCTCTTTGGTTGGTGCGCACATGTTTCAAGTTGATCGACAAGAGCAACTTGAGTCACTAAACAATTCCAGAAAGAATTGTCGAAATAATACTAAATACTCCCATAGAATATTTAACTCCAGCTATGGATCCTTGATAAAACTCATCCGCAGCTTAATCATTTCTGTTCCTTACGATAAAGCAGGTAAAGACACTTCGACTTGAACTTTTCCAAGCCACCGATCGAAATTCTAACCTCTAAATCGGTCTTTTCGCCCTGCAAATACCCTCAATTCACCGAATTTACGTTTTGCAGATAACAACATAGAAATACCACAAAATGGCAACACCCCCGAGGCAATTGTTATGTGGTCTGGATTATGCAACAGTCCCAAATATTGACACCTGTTTGCGAGCAGCACATGATGCTAGGTATCAGACAACTTTGCGAATTTTCAAACTTATTTTATTAGAGCACATGATAATGTATGATAAATTCCTTTTTTTTCTTTGTTCTGTTTTTGATTATAGTTATCTCTTCATCATGGCTCCACTGGTGAACCCTCGGTTTACTCAGGAATTTGTCTCAGGGGCAGCGAAGAATCGAGAAGGTCCCTTCACACGACCAGACCTCATGTTGAGAAGTTCGGACTGGAATCGTTTGATTATAGGAAAGCTCTCCCCCACCATAAATGTGGACTCACCAATTCCGCACGTCAGAGCAAACAGTGAAGCCGCTTTGCACCAAGAGATCTCATTTGCGTCTCACCTAAGTATCATGACGGTCACTTTCCAATTGACTGGAGGTCTGGATCGGAACATGAACCTGGCAAGAATCGTGTGTGATAAAATGACAACAGCTTCAATTCTGAAGTTTCTAATTCAAGTCCCAATGGAGAATCCCTTGAAGCAGTCCTTGTCATATCGCACTGATGAAGAAATCAGTTGCGAGAGCCCCTGGGAGTGGTGGAACGGCTTCAGAAATGTCTGTGACACCGACAGAAAGCTCCGAGTGGCTCTCGTTTTCAGCGCAGACCTTCCCGACGAGGCAGAGATCCAAAGATGGATTGGAGAACCCGTCAGGGCACTCATTATCCCCACTAGTCTTTTCCTGACTAATAGAAAAGGTTTTCCAGTGCTCTCCAAAGCACATCAGAGCGTAATTCACAGATTCTCCAGTCTCAATGTGAGGTTTATAATTACCGGGGCCAATCGGGCTACTAAAATATCGCTTTATCAGAGTTATTTGGATTATCTATGGAAGAGAGAATACGCATCTGATGGTCCCCTGGAGCGTTTCTGTCGTGGCTACGAGGACTACCTCCAAGTTCCCCTTCAACCCTTGAAGGATAACCTCGATTCCAGCACCTACGAGGTTTTCGAGGGAGATCCAGTGAAATACGCCAAGTACCAAACTGCCATATTTCAAGCAATCGTATACAAAATGAAGAACAGCAAAGGACAGAATTCACCGAAAGAATCTTGCCCGAATGATGGATGCCCTGACACCTCTCAGGCCTTCACCCTCGACCAAAACAGAAACTTGATAATAACTGTTGTTGGCGCTGGTCGAGGGCCCCTGGTCCGTGCAGCGCTGCAGGCAGCAGACATGGCCAAAGCTCGAGTTCGAGTGTATGCAGTGGAGAAGAATCCCAATGCCATCGTGACACTCCATGCTCTGAAGGCAGACATCTTCGGGCCCAGAGTGACAATCGTTGCCTGTGATATGAGGGATTGGAAGAGCACAGAGATGGCGGATATACTTGTCTCAGAGTTGCTGGGCTCCTTCGGGGACAACGAACTATCGCCAGAGTGCTTGGACGGGGCCCAGAACTTCCTCAAAGATGATGGCATCAGTATTCCTCAGCGATACACGTCCTACATAGCACCTGTACAATCAGCCAAGCTTTATCAAGGCCTCAAGGCATTATATGACAAAGAGAAACCCCCTCAAGCTCATTTTGAAACACCTCACGTGGTCTATCTTCAGAGCAAGTACGATATCGCACCTGTTCAGGCTCTCTTCACTTTTTCACATCCCAACAGAGACTCCGTCATAGATAATTCGAGATATGAGGTCAAGACGTTCAATGTTCAGCAGAACAGTGTACTGCATGGCTTCTCTGGATACTTCGATGTAGTTCTCTTCGAGAATGTCAAACTGAGCATTGTACCAGCTTCTTACAGCACAGGGATGGTTAGCTGGTTTCCTATATTCTTTCCCATCAAAGAGCCTGTTCAACTCAAGGCTGGGGATGAGATTAAGGTCCACTTCTGGAGAAGGTGTACGTCGAAAAATGTCTGGTACGAGTGGACTCTCAGTAAACCTATCCCTGGCAGTATTCACAATCCCAATGGAAGATCTTCTACGATTGAGCTTTAATGATCGATGATTCTAGAGTTCTTTCTTTTTCCTCTTTTATTGTGATGGTTGAGGAGAGGGAGCATGCGATGTATTGCCCGGACGCTGGGCGTCGTTGGGAGTAAGGACGGGTGGGATTCCTCCACTCACCTATAAACAAAAACCTATATCTGAAAAAGATATTTATATTTTGTATTTCTCGAGTACTCATTTTCATATCTTCATTACTACATTTTATTTGTACGAGAAAAACTGTTGAGCATTTGTGGAATAGTTCTTTTTTTTGGATCAGTAGTTAAATTCACTTACTCGATTAAGTGCAGATTTTTATTTTCTTGAAAAATCAATTTCATGAATGGAAGAGACGAAAAGTGAAAAGGATTGAAGTGAATTATGTGCATTATTATTATTGTATTGTGTGCAGAATTTTCTGTTTAATGATCGTTTTGGAATGATTCAGGAGAATGAGAATTGCGATTTTTTGCTGGCCGAGCACACGCTTTCAAAACAATGATAAACACGAGTGACATTCTTGACCTCACGTGTTGTTGAGATGAGATATCATATTTATTCCTCTCTCATTTGAGATTCCATTCATGCCTATTCATTCGTCATTATTCTGATTATTAATCGAACTATTTCAGAAATCTTCAATTAATTCCGAATGTTTGAAAACCTGACGTACACAACATTATTTTTCTTCGTTTTTATTTATTCAAGTTCTGGGAAAAGGCGTTTAATTACTTTCCAGAATGATTTTCGATTCTCGATTTATTTTGTTTCTCATGAGAAAAACTCAATCTCCAAACAGAATAAAAATTTCCGTAAGAAAGTGATAATAGTGATAAACTGTCAAATAAATTGTGAAGAATTGCAATAATTTGATACATGAATTTATTCATGAAGGATAAATTGAATAATTACAAGTATTTCAGATTAATTCCAAGACTTCCATGAACCTGGGTTTACAAGTGTTATACCTTTATCTTTCTTTTCAATTACATATCGGCATGTTAACATGGGAACGTAAATGCCAAAGAATCTCATCTCCCAATAAAGTTTTGATAATTTTTCTCGATTTTTCCCGATTGAATTTCAGTTTTAGTTAAATCAAATTTTCAAATTTTTTGGTATGTACAATAATTTCTAACTAGGTAATTTTCTATTATTCACGTATCAGACGGAAATTCAAAAGCGAGAAGTACAAATTATGTAGCAACAACTCAGTCTGAAAACCAGATAAACAATTGTGCAACAAAGTGATAAAAGTGATGAACTCTAAAATAATTATGAACAATAAAAATTGTTTTTCATACATGCTTTCATTTGTGATTTATACTCGGCCCCGGTATAATATTTGTCAGGATATTAAAGGGAAAGAAGCCTCTTATCGATTATCGAATTGATAAGAAAGGTCGTGTGATAGAACAACCGAAAAGACTATGAACGTCTGTCAGTATTTTCCCGGCATTCAATTATCGTCATTCGTTTGAGTCACGCGGTCGTCTGCGCTCCAATTGCAAGGCATTCGTTGTCTCGTGTCTCGAAGAACAACCAAACGCTCTAAAATCATTATTTCCTCAAAGAAACATTGATTGTCAATTGTTTAACAATGGCACGACTGGTGAGTCAAGTTTTTAAACACAGTTTGAAACCATTTTCGTGTGCACAAGGATCGAAAATTGGTAATTGTCGATGTAAATTCGCTGGTTTCACGCATGTGAGGAGCATCGTCACCACATCAGTCTTCAGGGCGGGTAATTTTTGAATTTCATTTTATTTTGAAGGTACCTGTTGTGATCGGGGGTGTAATTGAGTAATTTCATAATTCAGAGAAATGGTTCACTGAGAAACATGAGTGGGTGGAGATAGACGGGAAAATTGGCACTGTCGGCATCTCAGATTACGCACAGGATGCACTTGGAGACGTTGTTTATGCACAATTACCTGATGTAGGGACGGAAATTAAACAAGATGGTAACTAGATTATTCATGCCTTTCCTCTTCACTATACATCGTAAATTGCGAAACGTGATAATTTAATTTAGCTCTGAATCATTTTTTTTTTCGAAAATATCTTGTAATTTAAAAAGGATGGACATTTTTTCAATGGAATCAAATTAAATTTGGTGAACTTCCTTGGTAGGAAGTTTTGTAAGAAATTCAAAAATCATTTTCCTCGACGATAAAAATTGATATTGATATATTCTGGTGAATGGTATCGTGTTCTGATTTCATGAAGCTGATGTCAAAATAAAATCTTCCCCGCGTGTTCTACCACTTTAATATTATTTTTATTTCTCCTCTGAAATGGCTCGATCCACTGAGCTTCTCAATTAAATATATTTTTAGAGGAAGTAGGTGCACTCGAGTCAGTAAAAGCAGCCTCCGAGGTGATAAGTCCAGTGAGTGGAAAAGTTGTGGAGAAAAATGATGCTGTTGAGAATAAACCCGGCCTCATTAACACCTCGTGTTACACCGAGGGTTGGCTATTCAAAGTCGAGCTCTCCCTACCCGATGAAATAACGAAATTGATGAATGAAAAGTCGTACGAAGAATTCTTGAAATCCGATCCACATTAACTGATACGAGTAATTAACTGATTGCTGATTACGAAGGCACATTAGGGATTATTTATTGGACAGATCTGGAAAGCAATACGGAGAGATTGCCCTCATTATCTCCTCATTTTTGATAAAGTGTGTCACAATTCATCCAGCCTCGAGAATTTGTGATGAAATAATTCGCCACGACCATCATAATCATTCGATTCTCTTTCTCACGACTCAAAGTCTTATTATTCATTGCAGGAATTTAAATAATTGATATATTGGTCGAAATGAATATTTGTAGGACGATCCTATCATGTTTCTGTTGATAATAAAAATTATACTTACAGTGAATTAATTCATTGATTAATTTATAGCATTTTAATTCAAGAATTTTTAATTTTATGGAAAATATTGAACAAATATTCTTTTTTCATTGTTTTTAAATAACAAGAAGAGTTGAGGATTCTTTAATCATTCGTGAACAGGAGAAAATGCATCTCTGATATTTTTCATTCTATTTTGACTCTGTCTAAAAAAAAATTCTATCAAATTGTAATTCTTAGGAAGAATAAATCTTAATTGAAAGTCTGTACAAATAGTCTTGTCTAAGAATTTGACTTCGCAACTGCTATTCTGTAAGACGTCGAATGAAAAATAATCGGAGATAACGATTTTTGATAGAAATAAACAATCGCAAGGATGATCATTATCTTATTATGTTAATAATAAAGATATATATTTACAGTCAATGAATCTTCACTTTTATCATTTTTTCGGTATCATGTTTCTTTTCTAGATAATTTACAATTGCCAGCGGTCAACGGCAGTGTTAACAACGCACAAAGTATTTTATATTTATATTATGATTTATATTCTCCACTTGCTGTTTTTTGTATTTCCACCACCATTGGCTTCTCGGTTAATTTTTCATTCCATCGAATAAGCATTTTCATCAATTTTTACTATATTGGATTTTAGTCACATCAAATATTTAAAGTAGAGTAATCAATTGTTTTAGGTAATATTATTCTCATCCGATTAATAATAATAAAACTGTACATAGAATATTTCACACAATGTACAATCAAATACCTTCATGAAGTATTTCGTTAAGACTTTAATAGTTTCTTCTTTTCCAAGTAATTTTACAATTTACAGGTTTTTTTTTTCTCGATGAAAGGGAGTCGCGATTTGTGAAATTGATCGGACGCTTAAACAGACAATGGACGTGTCTTATCGTGCAGAGATAAAAGGCTTTTGCTCATCTTAATCCACTCGTTAATCATCCAACTCTTCTAATTGCTTGCAGTCGCATTCCCATTTGTTCCTTGACTTTATTTTCATATTGTTACTTTAGGGTGCGAGGTAAAAGACTGTTTTCTTCCAAATATTTTCAAACCGGCAGACGTACCATAAATAACAAAATCAATGGAGCATGAAACCATTCTCATTGTTGGACGTGAAAAATTTATCGAAAATATTAGACAGTATCTAATATTTCAAATAAAATCTTTCACTACTGAATTACTGAATACACTGAGAAAAATAATGTAAATCCAATTGTCAAGAGTAGTTGTAGAACGAAAATTGGTGGTTGAAAAATAAATAATGTCGGCTTAAATTAAAAATAATATTAAACGATTTGTGGCCGGAGGGAAGTCCAGAGTGATCACAATTCTGGTGATATTCCAGTTTCTCTGGAATTTGATAATAAAAAATCCATGGGGAGAAAAACTGAACAGCTTTAGTGATAAAGCCAATCTGTCAGATCCTGTTCATTCTACTGGCTCATCGTTCCCTTCGGCAATCAATCATGGGGGATTATTTAATATGTTGAGAGTGTATTTCACTGAGGTATGTGGTTAACTAGACATGTGAAAATATAAAAACTTAATACACTTAATGAAGAGGTAGTCAATCACGCCAATATTGTTCGTCAATATTGTTCTTCAATTTCATCATAAAAAAAATGTCTGCTACCTCGCAATCGTTGGGGAAAATTGTTAATTGTAGACGCAATAGTGCAATTAAACCTGGACTTGATAATTTTAGGAACATATTCTCGTTATTTTATTCATCAGGTTTATTTTCTGTGCAATGTAGAGACGAGCAAACTCGAGGGAATCCTTGCTCCTGTCTTTACTCTTCATTGGTTCCAGTGATGGCCCCTGCACGATATGTCAAACAAAAACAATCTCACCCTCCAATATCTATTCCAGTAATCACATGATTAGTGTGTTGCGTAAGTTATTCCTATCAACATCCAAAAAATATAATATTCTCGGTTCTTAGAGTACTCGTTCTCTCTAGGTAATTAAATTTAATTCGCGTACATTCATAGCTAATCATTACAAGAGGAGATTCTTTCTTTCAAATCGCAAAACACTCTTCAGGTACATCCCCGCTGCGCGCACTTCTTTATTTTAGTTTTTATAAATCGTTGTGTTTGGTTTTTTTTTTATGTTTCAATTGGAATTTTACAGAAAACTTTCTCATTGAATGCAAAGTATGAAAGCTTTATTGAATATTTCAGAGGCTGTTCGATTATTTGTTGCAATACAGTAGATTTTCCGTTATAGTCGCATGAATGGAGATGTAGGGGAAGCGAATTCGGAATATTCTCGTGGCAAATTCGAATACGAGAGAAATTTATTTTCGGCTATATTTTGCCCGGAATTCAATTCCACACCGGACGAAGCAATTAATTGTTCACATCTTGGAGAGGTGCGACTGTAAGAGGATTTTACTGTAATGCAATTTTGAGGAGTCAACTCGCATTTTTCTTTTATTGGTAAAAATTGGGAAATATGCGTTTTATATTTTCGCTGAATTGTGACGTCCAACAATGAAAAAATTTTGTAGCAAAGTCCAATCGCTTCTGCACCATGTCTGTTATCGAGCAAGGATTCCACGCCGTGTTTATGAATTTAATCTCACAGCAGTCGTAAAAATTTGTTTTCTAGCACCGTCACAATATAACGAATGGCTTTTAGGTACCCAAAGGCCTAGGAAAAATGACGGCCTTCACAGCACTGAAAGAATTATTTTCGAGGCATTCCACAATATTTCATTCGAAATTTTCTTTCCCAAAAATAATACATTATACAAAGTTGAAGGTGTCAACAATTGTTTGTAACATGATTTGATACATATGCGGGGTGTATTGAAAAATTATTATTGTTTACCCGTTTCTTGCAAAAAGCCCAATTAACAATGAGTTTATTAGATTTTACTGAAATTTCTGGATGAATTCTAGAACATATCGAAAAATGGAGGAAATACAATTTTGGTGAATTGAAATAGTGTGGAATGTCCCTTGTATATTTTCTTCATATTCAACTTGACAGCTAAACAATTAATCTATGTTTAGTGAAAAATAAACTAAGTTATGTTTACTTCCTCGTATTTTTGTGGTTGTTCTGTAACTTGATGGTATTCTTCCCAGAGTCCATTCGTATCCGCTAAATATAATGTCTCTTCTCTCCCTTAACGTTTGCTAAATATTCTTCCCCTCCATTAATTATAATTAACAACTGCAATAAGACGATGATAGTTTCTTACTTCATAAATGTTTTATCCTCATCTTGATTTCTTAATGAATATCAATAAACTATTGAGATAATTGTAATGGGACCACATAAACCTTGCTCCAATGATGAATTTATTAAATTTTCTTTATTTACTTTTATTTCATTTTTTGTTAGACGTCTTCTTACTTTTTCACTTAACATAAAACTCTATTTATTTTACAATATACAAGTAATAAAATATCGCGATTTGTGTTGTTTTTATGTAAAATGTGTGTTATATTTTTTTTACTGTTTTTCCGCCACCTATGTATCCTTTTTCATTGCTTTTTTTTTTGTAAAAAAAAAGGTTTTAATGAAGATTTGCCGCTCTTTTAATTCAATTTTCCTACAAATTAGTGAAGACATTAAGTAGCTAATCATTTTATTCTCTTTATTTTTCTTCATCTTTGTAAGCAACAGAAATATATATATTTTTCCTTCTTTTATTTTTCCTTCATTTAAACTATACACAAAATATCATAATTACATATTTAACATGATGCTTAATCGTCTCTTCATCCTTAATGTTTTTTGTTTTTATCAATTGTATTGTTTTTTTCCATTTTTCATCATTTAACCTCTATACAACGTAATTGGAATGTGTTAACTAATATTTACAATTATAGTAGCCCTGCTTGTTGTGCAAGTGTGAGAAAAATGCAGATTAAAAAAAAACGAAAAAAAAAAACATTGCTCGAACAGATTGTTGGACATCTCATATCAGGAAGTAGGGATGCCCCCAGGTGGGCCAAAAAATAATTCACCTCTCGATTTTTTTCTCATCTGTCAAAAACCCCACACAAAAATATATATATAAATATTGCCATGGCGTTTCAAACGCATCACAATTTCCCTCTCTCTCTCTCTCCCTCATTTTTCTCATTCCCCTGCTTTCAATCTGTCAACAACTGAAGAAAAAAAAAATCATTATGCCCATTGAATCCCCTTGCAAAGAGTAGCACAAACGGCCGATTAAATTTCCCTCATTTTCCTTTGAATCAAGAGTGAAAGATGATTAAATAAAATTAGGGTCCCGGTTCTATCTACTCGCAATTCTTCCGTCAACTGTAAAAAAAACATTGTAAATTCTCCAAATAATCAAATAATTATAATGGAATTAAAAACAAATTAAAGAAACAATGATTTTTAATGTTGAGTGGATTGAAAATTTGTCGATTTTCAAAAGGAAAGACAAATGATAAAGTTTGATTATTGTGATTTGAATTTTTCCTTAGTCGTCAGTGAGAGCAAGGCTTCAGTGGTACACTTAAAAATAATTGCCTCTAGATTATTAGAAAAATAGCATTTTACTTATTTAGACAAAAGTTGCCTGCCCTTTGACCAATAAATTTTCATCTTTATTTTTCATCATTTTATTTTCATCCTCGTCTAACCACCCTTTGTACTGTTTTCAAGGCATCTCGCTTACGGTTTTTCCCTGCGCTTGTTTTAATATCGACCCGCCAACCTCTTGAGGCTACGTGCTCGGTGGAGGGGGGTACGTTTCACTATTAATTTTCTGGTTTATAGATTTTTATAATCACTTGTTGGGTTGGGTTTGTTGACTGCTTTAAATTTTCTTATTTCATTTTTTTCCACCCCTCAGATACATCTCTAAAACTTGAACATCAAATATAGAAAATATATGTTATGTTTATATATTTAAATACATGTGTTCATTTTTCATTTTTTACATATAACTATACTTGATTCATTTCTCAATTCTCCACTGAAAAATACAATCTATTTATCATTCTTATGATATCAATTTGAAAACAATTTTCGTCAAGAAAATTTTTGAAATTTTTTGCACATGAATTTTCGATTTTTCCCAGAAAAATTGGAAAATAAGGATAGGGAGTGATAAAGCCATTTTACTTCATTTTCCCCTCTTATTTGTTCTTTTCCTAGAATTTCCTTGTTTTTGGTCCAATGAAACCTAAGCTCCCGCTGGCACTCCCTTTAGGTACAATTTGTCTTTAGTTTGGGGACAATAACCGGGACTTACTAGACACAATAAGCGTCGATATAATAGAATCCACGTTATATTTCATTTTCTCTTAGCATGAAGCATCTCCATTAGTAGAGTTTGGGTTGGTGCACCACCATTACAGTGCTTCTGGTAAAGATGATCCTCACCCCTGCTTGCCACTACGTGAATCTCTGGTAATACTGCCAGCAGCTTGTTGAATTTATCCTGCACATCAAATAACACATTTTTCCAACCATTTTTTTTTCATTGTCATTCTCCCCAACCCCATCCATCATCCAATTCACAATTAATATTGCTTCATCATAATTCAATCCATCCCGAGGTGCACAATTCAACATTTCACTTGACTCATCGTTATTGATTATTGTCTTGTCATTCAATTCAAGTCTGGATAGCATAACACTTCTATCAGTCTGTACTTGAGGAACAACAATCTCTCCTTGTCAATACACGAATCACTTTTCAGCTTTATTTTTTTCTCAATTCAAAGGGAATTAAATTCTTACCGGTATCGATGGATAACACGTCAGACAGTAGTCGAGGAGTGCCTGTTGGACCTGCTCATGGCCCTCCTGGACGTGTTTTTTATTTACCAGTCCTCGTACGTCTGGAAAAAAAAGTATAAATACAAATTAATAAATATAAAAAATCTGTTATCTTTATTCTCTGGTCTTACCGTGATTGAGCAGCATGAGGAACTTGAGGCAGAAGAAGTCATTGAAGTCAAACTTGAGCTCCTGGAGCTTCTGGGATAGATCGTGGAATAGGTCAGCTAGAGAGGGTACACCCAGTAGGCCGAGACAAAGGAGATCAAACTTTTGGCCATTGTGGAGGGTCGTCTCGTCTGGCAGGTTGTTGTGCATCCTCTGGTGGAGATGATCGAGCACCAGCATGTCCGACCACGAGTGCTGGAGCAGCTTCATTTGGTCATCAACCTGTTCATTCAATTCACGGATTAGCTCATTCATTTTTCATCCTAGCACGTGTGCACATCTGGACTTTTCAGGAGATTTCAAGACATTATCGCCAAATTGAACTATCACTTTGGGGTATATAATTGAAAAAAAAATCTATGAGAGCTATGGAAATGAGTACTTTCCATAAATTGATCTTCAGGTGGTATCAATTTATCCTAAAACAGCTGATTTACCTCTTGGAAGTTGTCGATAAGTATCTCAGAATCTAAGAGAGACAGGAAAACAGAATAGGCTTATCTCGTATCACCACTGAACTACAATCACGTCCATTCAAGTAAATGAAGAGGAACAATAAATTTCTAGGGATAATCGTGCTTGACTAACATCTTCCCTTCATTTTTCATGGAAATTGCAACTGACATTCAACTTTCAAACGTTATAAAGTACCTCTCATAGGGTATGCATTCATCGAGATAACGACAAGTAACCGTAGAGTGATAGTAGCCGTCCCCAGGATAATTAAAAATAATTGAGGTGTTTACTCTGCACCTGGTAAGCTGTGTATTAGAAAAAGAACTGTAACCACTCGACGAGCAGGTAATAATTAGGTACTCGAGTTCGAGAATTGTTCGACGATGATTCAATGACAATTCATCGTCAATGTGAGTAATCAAAAGTGTTTGGGGACGGCTACAATAACCTAGAAACCGTAGCTTGTTATGACCCAGATATGAGGCGATGCTTGAAATCATTCAGCGATTGTGCAACGACCGAGTTGGTTACCTCACATCCCAACACAGTGCTCGCGAATTCTCTCCAACTCGAGAGTCTTACCACCTTATAATCCACTTGGTTTAATATCATTTACCGTACAATTACTGATAATATTATGAATAAAATCAACGTTAATCATTATTTAAATCAATGGAGATTATGCTGGAGGGGATCCCTTCGATTTTCTCAAATATATTGACAAGCTGCATTCAATTGATGGATTGAACTCAATAAAAAATTCATTCTATGAGAGAATATGTCCTACTCTTGGGAAGTTTACGATTTCCAAATGCCCTGGTATTGTTTTGTTAAATCAATTTCAACCTCGTTTTATTAGATTTCAAATCCTCGAAGATCTCAATGTGCCGACGATGTTTTAGATTTGATTGGGAAAAATTGAAGAATTTTTCTTCAGCAAAAAGAAAACTACGAAAGAATGTAAAGATCTTATAGATTACCGAGGATTTTCATAATGACTGATTATTTGTTTATTTATTTATTTCTAAAATTTTAATCACTCACCTGGAAGAACGAAATAAAAAAAAAAGTAATATTGGGAGCGCTTGAATATTTATAATTCAGTAGACAATTTCAGAGATAAAAATTGAAACTGGAAAAGATAACGAACTGCATATGATAATTGATAATAATTATGAAATAATGTGAAACAAACCTTGAGATCCTTGAAGAAAACGGAATTTCTCGCCCAATCAACTTGGGAGAAGAGATTCTGATCGAGCACTTTGCACATAAGTTCGAACAAATCAACTTCACACTGATTGTACGTCTGATTCTGCAATAATCCAAAAAGCGATGCCTGCCACTCCCGATCATCAACAGACTGAACAAAGTCCCTTATGAGTGGGCTAATTTTTAAGGCTGCAGTTGAGGGCGTTGGTCCAGGATTTTGACCATGGGATTGACTCGATTGTTCACCAAAATTGAATGCCTTAGGGCTGGAGGTAGTGGAATTGGCCGCCCACAATTTACCATCGAGGCTTTGATTTGGATTGTACATGTGATTGCCACCAGTCAATGTTGGCTGTGATGAGGGTGCTATGAGCTGATGTTGTCCAGCATTACCAGCTCCATTATTATTGTTGTTGTTATTACCACCGGGTTGAGTTGTTACTAAGCCAGCAGCAACAGCTGCTGGTGATGGACTCGAATCGGGGGATGACGTTAGACTCGAGACCTGAGGTATCTGTATTTCCTGTTTAATGTGTAGGAATGGTGTTACTCCGGATGAGTAACTCGTTGGATCACCTAGACTACCGCGTATCGTTTGTAGTGCCAGTTGACGTTGTCGTAGGATCTGCAATTTTCTCGCTCTGTCTCTCTTGTACATTGGGCCAAACTTGTTTCTACCCCCTCTCATCCTGTCTGCACGTACAGCTGTACACAAAAAATAATAATAATAAATAAATAGCAGCCATCATGGCATATGAAAGTTATTCAACGGCATTTTGTCTTCGGACGATTGACTCCCCCTCTCTGGGGATATCAATTCTGCCCTTGAACCAATTTCGCGGATTAATTCGAATCGACCTTGCCAACAGTGAAAGCGGAAGCTAACCTCCTCCCCCACCCACCCACTCCTGATAATCACCAGGAAGTCTCTCCAAGTTTCTCAACTATCGATTTTCCCTATCAAGGATCAGTGGTTCTTTAACCAACCGTGTTTTCTGTATATATATATATTTTTTTCACATCGATCTTTTATTAAGCAAATTGAGACTAAAAATTGGAGGTAACGTCCTTGGATTCACATACGCTCGATAAACACGCATCCCAAGTGGAGCCTCCATAAAACGTAAGTGTGTCGAGGCCACGCCATAGAGTGTCTTCCTGTTTCCCATCACGCGGGCCAGTCCCTCTTCCCCTCCCCAATGTAGCAAAAAAATGATGAAAAAAGGGAGAAAAATAACATAGCAAAAAATGTTTAACGCAGTCGGCACGGTGTTCTTGAATTTTTATGATATTTCTGGGTATCCTTGCGTTTCAACTTTTATTCCTGCTTTAAAAATTTTTCCAACCATGACCTTGAGTCACTTCAAAGCTTACAAATGGTGTATTTTATGGAGCATAATGATGAGTCAAGATATCTCGTATGCAGTATCGGTGAGTTATAATTCCCCTATTTTTCAGCATTGCCTGTTTTTTTTTTATTTTTTATTATTCAATAAAATTTATCCAATGGTGAATAATTGTGGCGTGAAGTGGATACTATTAATAGGATGAAAAGGTTGAGTAAAAATAAAAGACCAAGTGTGGTCAAAACCTTTTAAACAGCGTTGCCTATTTTCGTGGCTGTTTGAGGCGTTAAGAGTTTTGTACTCAACAAGCCACCTAGAGGCCTAAAACCACCGGTGGTTTTGTGTTGAGCTCGTGCTCGCCGCTCGTTGAAAGTGAAAGGAGGTTGAATCCACTCGCCCGTCCACTTCTGCCTGCCTTTGACTTCTCCCCTCGTCTATACCTCCTAGACATCCACTATACCTTCAACTCTTGTGCACAGTCCACTACTCCTTCGACGCACAACACTAAATATCCCTCCCTCTCACCACCCATCGCCACCCTCTCATCACCCTCATCAAAAACTAAAATAATCACAAGCAACGATATTTCAAAAATGAATATATATATATAAATATTAATAATAATAATATCCGGAATTGCATCAGCAATGCTAGTCGTACAATTAATTTAGAATTCAATCAACGATTCAAGACTATTGCTAAAACTGAAAACTCTGTGATATGACTGGATCATTGCAAATGTAAATATAATTATATGCAGATTTTTATTGACAGTGCTAGTTCTTTGAGAGCATTTAAGATTTTTCATTTAACGTATTGAGAGTTGGTGTACTAAAAAAATGGAGAATTCAAGGATATGAAAATATAATTGTGATCTTGTTGATCTCTTGTTGTCCGGTCTAGGGTTCTGTGTAATTCGTTTGTAATTCTCACTTGTCAAGTGTGAAGCTTGTGAGTAGTGATCGGAAAGTTGTGCTGGGGTAATTTAACTTAAAGTAGGTTAATTTGATTAAATTTAATTCAACTTCATGTTTAAATCGGTAGACTGAGGTTTATTGTTGGGGCGGAAACAAAAATTAAAGGCATCAATGGGTCTATGGGGATAAATAAATGTAATAATCTTGTAACAATCTTACTAGGAGATTTAATGGCACTCGATTTTTCGCGAAAATGATTGTTTAACAGGAAAAATCGAATTTTCGCGAATTAATGCGTGAATTAACGATAGTTTTCCATTTTGATTACAATTTTAAAAAATTTTCATATGATCAAACGGAATATTTTATTTATTTCATTTAAATTATTATTTTTGTCATTTATTTTACATCGGAAACTCACGCATTGAAGGACCTTCCCAGTAGAAATCATGATATTTGCCGGAAAAATCGATGGATTTGAAAAAATAAAAAACGGTTATATTCATGAATATACAGAGAACATTTTTTGCCTGAAACTTTTTTCGGTACGGATAAAAATAGCAGCAGTAAACGCGTTCAAACAATCAAATTGTTAATGACACTTGAATTCCTGACTGATTAACAATAAAAATTACATACTCATGTTTTTTCAGTATCCAAAAATACACGACAAGAAAAACACATTCTGAACTTTCAATCAATTAAAAATAATTCACGAAGGAATAATTGAACCTTTTATTTTTCCACTAATTGATTACCAGTTATCTCCTCCGCATTAAATGCTCATTTAATATTTTTTAAATTTATTAATTAACTTATCTATTGAGGACCAGAAAAAAGAAGAGACTGAGAGCTGAATTGAATGACTTTCCAAAAATCATTCGGTGCCAATGAAAAGTCTCACCCTCCCCTTTTTTTCCACAAATAATTATAAACGATTTTGTAAGTTCAAAGGGAAACTGTTAGGTGTGTTTACCTCGTGCCATGTATATAACGAGACTTTTTCTGTCGATTTAATTTATGGTGTCATGCCAGACCTTATTCGTGGTGGTCCACAGGTCCACAGGTCCAGAAAAGAGAGGTTTGCGCAAAAGAGTTACGCGCGCGCGGTAAAAGTGAACGAGGGAGAGATACCGGAGGTTGACCGAGATATTTGGAACGAATATATATATATAATATGTATACTGCGACGATCCGAAGGGAATTAAATAAAACGAGTATCTGCGAGCCCACGAGATGGTGAATTAACCGAGGATAAATTAATCCGTGAAATCCAAGAAAATGTATCAAGCACTGAATTTTATCTCCCAGCCATTCCATCACTCTGCCATTCCCACAAAAGGGCTTAAGAGTTTGCGTACGATAAAAACGTAATAAAAAAAATAAAACGGATATAATGAGAGGATTCGAGGTGGTTTACTGTGGCTTATGCAACAATTTCAATGAGCGCAATGCAACCGCCCACCGGAAAAGTTCCATTTTCATGGAATTTATGTATGAACAGCAGCTCGTCTCTGGACTCTTCGTGAAAATAGGGCAAAACAAACATGAAAAAAATGAAGAGAAATATAATTTTTCAATTGGCTGAAGGAAACGGATAGGCGTGTAAATGTTGAATTGCGGAATATAGCGAGGAAGTTCGTCTAGTGGTGGTATCACATGTGTCCCATTCTAATGTGCCTTATTCTCCAACAGCCAGTCGCCTGCGTGGGCTAGATTAGAAGCAGAAAAACATTCGAGAAAACCGCAGAGTCAATTGAAACTTTGTACTCGGTGTTAGCTCTCGCTCCAGAAAATTCACATTAAGTGCACAACTGAGGTGATTGTTTGCTCGATATTCGTCTCATCGTTTGGGGATTATTCTTTATTTTAAATAAAATTGTCGAAAGAAACGGTAGATGCTTGGACGAGCCAGCGTGGGTGTTACACAATATCTGTCCGCCTCGGCCTAACCTTTTTCCCCACTTTTTACTCACCAGCTAAATAGCGAACAGAGCGGTCGAGCCCATCGAGACGCAGGAGTCAAGAGGCAAAATTCCCCTCCTTTAATGACTGAGGTGCAGAGAGCACACTCCTGGAATTTGCCACTTGAAAAAAAATTATTTCTGTCGAGTTAATCCACTTTGCATAAGTTACACTGGAAAATTACACTTGAAATTTCAAGTTTAAAGACGGAAATTTTTGAAAAATTACTAAGTTACATGGAATTTATGGAAAACTCTCAATTCACGAATCAATTATTAATTAATTTCCTCAATAATCTGTTAATTCTATATTTTCAGGTTGAATAGTGAAAATTGCAGCAATAATTTCATTGAAATTATCAATTTATTGAAAATTTAATTGTCTTTGGTATTGAATCGTTACGTTGAGGTAGAAATAATAATTTTTATATGAATCAAGTACAGAATTATTTGATTTGTGAAAAAATCTAGCAACCTCCTTAGCAGAAATATTTTTTTATCAATGTATTTCCCCATGACTCCCCACACACGTACTCTATTCTCTCTCTTGTTGAGAGAATTTTTTTTATCACTTGTTTAACACGTCGGTCCAAACCAGGCCCCAGGTATGGCATACGCCAACGGATCTATTGCGACATTCCAATATAATTATGAAATTCGTTAAAGTTTCGGAAATAGCTGGATTGCTGCTCTCCTAATGCTGAAGGAAAATGTTTGTACTGTTTTATCATGGTGATAGAGATTTAGATAAAATTAATCGTGAACCGCTGGGTCATTCAAAGCATTTTCTGTTACGTTTGTTTATTTATTACTTTAAAGAGACTTCATTATTATTGCCTAAGGCATTTCAGTAAAATACTTGCAGAGAATGAAGTTTTTAGGAAATATTTACCCTGAATTCTGTCAATGGTGTAACGTACTGGCCTTGGATAAATTTTTAAAGAAATAGTTTAGTCAAAATTACGACATTTCGTTGAAAAATTCCTTGGAGATATTTTTATAGGGGCTCTTGTGAAAATATAGAATTATGAGAATTTGAATTTGAAGTTCGGTGGTGAGGAGGTAAAAACGGTTCATGTTTCCGAAAAGTATTTCCGACTCGCTCAATTCAGTAAATTAGTGGAGCGTTTTTGAGTGTTCCAGTAATTAATTAATTAATGCCACATTTAAACAATTGCAACCGAACGGTTGGGGAATTACAGCATCAATAGAAGAACATTATAACAGATTTACTGTGTTTTATGTAGTTTTTTTTTTTTGTGAAGTAAAGTCAAGTCGGTAATTGCCTTTTCGAGTTATAAAGAATGTTTTTAGGCAGAAGTCGATTGTCAATAAATAAAATATCTCCCGGAGTTGTCATTTAATCTGTAAAATAATAAAGACTGAATGGGATTTTTACAGATGCGCGTTGTTAGGTGATAAATTTAAAAGGCACTCATTGAGTTTCAAATAGTTTGGGTACTCGTTTATGATCACTGAGGGGCTTGAATTTTTCACATTTATTGGGGGTACGAGCTGGTCAGGGGATTTTACAGAGATTTCCAGAGGATCTGGGGAGAAGTTATTACGAGGGAGTTATAAATTTTAAATTTTGCGCCATTTGCAGGACACGTGTTGTGCATGTGCACTGATTCATGTGGTAAAAAATACTGAGAGATTTGATTTATCCCGGGGGGAAAAAAAAATTGGAATTTTTTGGTGGAAAATGAGAGAGCGTTTACTTGATTGTTTGAATTCCTTTGAATTCCTTCGAATTCCTTTGAATTCCTTCGAATTCCTTTCAATTCCTTTCAATTTCTTTGAATTTCTTTAAATTCCTTTTGGAGGGAAAAACTGATGGAGGTGAGGAAAAACATTGATGAAGATCCTTGAATTTCTGCTGGTCAGTGTCAAGGTCAGATTGTGGTGTCCGTGATTAATTGGTACTGGAATAAAATTTTCCTAGTGGAATTGGCTAGTGATTAATAACCGGGGAAAATGAAAATTCGACTCTGAAAAACATTTTTCAATTCTAATTAAACAGGTGGAAAACATATTGAAAAATATAATCCAACCATCTTCACCGTTACGTATTTTTTTTAACACTTAATTACACACTTTATCACGATTAATCAACAAAAAAAAAATCTCCAGCTATTTTTCCTCGCTTCTTTCACTCAAGTGAGTGATTTAAACTCGCAGAAGCAATTGACGTGCCCCTGGATACTGAATAAATGAAGAAACACTCGATTGGCTCTCTGGAATTTTATTTTCGGGGGCAGCGCACTGTATTCCAACTTGTCAACCAGTTACACCGGTTTAATTACACTCGTTATAAAACCGTATCTCTTAACCCCCGTGTCATTACGCAATGATTCTCCTTTTCTCTCTTTCCCAAACGATCGATGTGCATCGATCCTCGACACACTTTAGTCAATGGTTTTTCAAAATAAATGCATCTTCAATAACAACGAGACATGCAGCGTCTACACCCAAAAAATTCTTCTCTGTTTACACTTCACATCTAAATTTACCGATACGTTAAAAACCCCTTTTCATTCACCACAAGCAGTAAATCCCGATGGAAAAGTATTCCAAAAATATTTACAAAATCTCCCTAATTAATAGCCAACGACCAAACAGAAGAACACACTACGTGATCATCTCCTGACAATAAAGCTGATGTATGGAAAAGATTTCCAAAAAAAAACATTCCAGGCAATTAATTTTTACGATTTCCAGAGGCCTCTTGGTAATAATGTACTTCAAGCCGACAGACACAATACAATTGCTGTGACGAAGCCCACGTGCACGCCATAAGTGTTTTAAAACCAAAGACTCGTTGTATTTATGAATGTACTAGTAACCGCTGTGACGAGGCGTGCCACCACGCGTCATCGTTTCACTTTCGATAAATCGTCCATAGTGCACATCTTCAAGTATTAAAACCGCCACTAATTCTCAGAAATCCCGCCTAATGAAATAGCCAATAAGTCATTAGAGCCACTAGCCTCTAATCGCCGGTATTTCCTCCGCCACTATTAATATCAAAAAATCCCATTCATCTGGTGTTCATTAATTTGTTACTCCACTGCTCTAATTCCTTTTGAAAAATTATATTTCAATGACGTAACAAAAATTGGAAAGAAAAGGAAAAAAAAAGTTATTTACAGACTCGCAATAAAAGTCAATTGGATAATTTTCGATTTGATATTTGAACAGGAGTTCGCTGTCATTTGGAAAGTTGAGTACACGTACGAATAGTTTCACAATCATTTTTGCGTGTATTCGTCAGCGCCACTGTACGGTAGCGCCAAAGGCCCGCGTAAAATAATTGCGACAACGCGAGTTCCCTCTCCCCTTCGTCCCCACCATCCTCCTTCCCCTCTTCCAATTCTCATTTGTAGATTCATGGTATAATCACAGTAAGAGAGAGAGAGCCTTGGAATAGGCCTAGACCCAGTTCCACCACCAGCAATCCTCCCCCATTAACCTCGAAACATTCGCGTAGAAATAGAAATTGAAAAGGAAAAAAAGAAGGAAAAAAAAAAACTCACCGATTAAAATCTATTATCCCAACCACAAATTTCGTGTATTCTACTCTAACACGGTTTCAAAATAGAAAGTTGACTAGACGCAGACTAATCCCGTTGATATTTCCAGCGTCGAGAACGCGCAGAAACTGAATCAAAATGTATTCTTTTTTTTTTTTACTCTTGTTCGTTTTTTCCGGTTTTTATGGGGATCCGGTGTGGAGAATCAACCAACCGACATGAGAGAAGGACCGGAAGTGCCGGTGACGTCACTCGACTCGCCTACCCGGTCACAAGGAGGGATAAATAAAAGGAATGGAAAAACCAAAAAAAAATAAAAAAGAAATAAGAAAAAATGGTGTATGGAGAAGGCGTTGGCGTTCGACGCACGTTTTCATACGTCTACAGTGGGTTACAATGAGACTACCATTGGCGATTGTAATTTGCGTCGCCTTTTAATCCACTGGACTTGTCACGATGCCTAATTTTTCATAATATTTTCCCAGGTTAAAATGCAATTGAATTGAAGTGGCCACCACGCGGACTACCGTACCTACACGTAAAAATAAAACCTAACGAGAATATTATCTGTAATGACTATGTAGTTAATTGACACATTTACAAATTAACACAAGAATTATGATTTTTAATGGGGGCCTTTATCTCATCTGAATTTCCAAACGTCTTGGATTTGAATTATCAGAACAATGTGAATCGATCGAACGAATAAATAACTCGATCTAGGAAAAGAGAGAAAATAAAATATATATATCGAGTGACTCACCTTCTAGCTTCATGCCGACCTCCAGGCACTTCTGGAACCTGCAGAATGGACATCTCTTCCTCTGTGTTTTATCAATATGACATGATCTCTCAGCAACACACGTGTAAACCTTTTTATTCTGTACAGTACGTTTGAAGAAACCCTTGCAGGATTCGCAGGTAAGAAGGCCATAATGATAACCCGATACTTTATCACCACAAACTGGGCACAATTCCTCGATAACATCCTTGGTATCTGGAAATTCCGATGTACCAGGTACAGAACCAGTGACAATACCAACTTGTCCAATACCCGGATGACAAACATTACCAGGTACTTGTCCAGAACTAGCGACATTCTGATTGGTATTGCTATTGGTAGCGCCAGCGCCATTACCACCACCAGTTGTACATGTGGCATTGCCATTGGTACTATTGGCATTACTACTGTTGTTACTACTGCCACTTTGATAATTACCACTCGTTTCAATTCCACCACCCGAAGTACCGCAATTGCCACCCCCTGTTGGTGAAAATAAACACGTATATACTTTTTTATTGCTGCACGGTGAACTATTGCGCTTGAAAAATCCCTTGCACGATTCACAAGTCAATAAACCATACTGATAACCCGACATTTTATCACCACACATTGGGCATCTCTCCTCGAGTGCAATAGCATCAAAAAATGCTGATTCAAAACCAAGTACATTGCCACTCTGCGTTGTACTACCCGATTGACTCGATTGTGAGCTTTGACTGTGATTTGATATTTGTGTTTGCGATTGCTGTTGGCACATTGTCGTTGGGGGACTCTGTGCACAACTTGCATACGCCGTGGGGGTGTACTGATTTGATTGTTGCTGTTGTTGTTGCTGTTGTTGCTGTTGCTGTTGCTGTTGCTGCTGTTGCTGGGCACCACTGGGACCGTGTGGACTACCCTGTGGGCTCAGGTGAAATGGCGACATGTTCAGGGACATCAGACCCGAATGTTGCTCCATGTCCAATAACATATCACCCCAGAACGAGGTTCACACACCCGGCACATATGAGATTACCTAGCTATTCGAGTTCAATTTTCTGTTCGGATTATCGAGTATTGGGGTATGATAGTATGGAAAATTTATTGATGTCAAACTGTCAATATTGACGATATTTTACGTGATCCACAGGCACTCACACACAGTTTGCAATCATTTAAAAAAAAAGCCTCATCTCAACACGCTCATCGTCACATGGATCGATCGATACGTCCGAACCATATTTCAATATCCTCACAATGAAAAATCGACAATTATCTTTTTCCTTCACTGCAATCCTAAGTCAACACTTGTCACTTCGATCTTCAAATGATTCTCCACCAAAACTGTACGACTCATAAAATGGATTAACCCGGAATTTTAGAGTTTGTTATGGGCAGGTAGGCTGATGTAAACAATAAACAGACTCTATTAAATATACTTGGGGAGGGGGATGTGGAAATAGCAAGTTTTGTGTAGTAATGAAAATAACCGGAGCCGGGCGTTAGTGCGACCTGACAGCTCGACTATCTGCGTGCGACTAGCTGTCTTCTCGCCTCGTTGCTCTCCTGAAGGGCCCGCCCCCTTCTGTGCTTGTGCCTCTGTCCGTCGTGTAAGTACCCCCTCCCCTTACCCTTACCCACCCCCCACAATTCTCTCTTACGTACGTAATGCTCGCCTCACTCTGCCGTTTTATACTTGAAAATCTACCACGCGCCAGCGCTAACCACCCCACACCACCACCACCATCATCATCATTTTCCACCACCTAATTAAACTCATCTGCAAATATATTTTATTCACCCACGGAATCTATCCCCAAGTGGTCCTCACACACACAGGACTATTCACCGAGTACACAAAATTAAAAAAAAAAAACAAGAAAAAAGCGGATCAACCAAAATCCGCGGAGATTGTGGGGTTGCCCAATCAATATTTACATGATTGAATACATCGAATTATCGGTGTGTCGGTATCAGTTACGAGGGGTTTGTGCGAAGATTGTGGGTTTTTTTTTTTTTTTTTCCAAGCTGAAGAAGAAAAGAGTCACAAGGAGGAATAAGTGAAAGTGATCCAGCGGCGCATGGCAGAAACTCGCGACCAGGTGCCACCATGAGCGCACCAGTCCAAGAGAGGGAGGATTCGGTGGTGTGGAAGGAGGTGAGGCTGACGGAGGGAAGAGGGGAGAGGGAAGGTGGAAGGTGGAAGGTGGAAGGAAGAGTGGGCACTTGGACAAGAGGGACGGAGGGTTGAAACAGCGGGAGGGGAGCCGCTGAGGCTGCGCGGGATTGGAATTAATGGTGGGGATGACCTACTTACAGAACCAGGTCTATGTCGGCAGGAGAAATATTGTCCGAGACTCCAAAGTGCCCGACGACGTTTTGCTCGTTGTTTTTTTTGCGATGAGCCAATCTTAGTGGAGAATCCCCACACCCTATTGAATATTTTTTTTGATAATCTTGAAGGGCTTATGCTGAGAATTGGAGTGCGTTAGGTGCCCAATTTCTGGGGACATTTCTATTGGTTGCAGTACATTCCTCTGATAGGCTAGTACGGGTGACGGGAATTCAATTCTAGAGGAACCTTTCCGGGAATTAGCATATTGAGACGAGATACCCTGGCCTCTTTGTTTCATAATTTTGGGTATTTGGTAGGTGGGTCGTGAGGTGAAAGTTTGGATGGATTTAGGATATCCCACCCACTCGCTCAACCGATTTTCGATGAGTTTTAATGAAGGGTTACACAAGGTTACGTCGCACGTGAAATCGATGTTGGTGGATATAGAATAGTGATAATTAGTGAGAATAGTTTAATGGGAGAATAATGAGTGAGGATGGGATAACTCTTGCTTTCAGTGAGAGTGTGTGGTTTGATAATGTTGAATCATCATTGTTGAATAAAAATGGTGAAGAGGGGCCTGGCATGGACGGTGTAGAAGACGGGGCTGTGGCTGGGTCAACAGCAACGCCGTTGGCACTCCCCGAGTGTTTAGCTGTGTTCAACGTATTTTCCTCTCTCTTCGACTGAGCTTGTCTCAGTTTTCCCCCCCGCTGACACCCTCTGGCCCACCGCAACTCCTTTATCACTCCATCTTTCTTATGCCAATATACCTCTCTCTCGGGCACTCGGACTCCTCGAGTTCTCGCTTCGTCCGATGTGCGCCGACTACTGTCGTGTAGTGGGGAGACCCACTGACCCAGTTCCATCAGAACATGACGCAGTCCTGCCACTCGTTCGCGCGCGCTTTTTTTTTTCTTTCTATTCCCTTTTTCCATTTTTTTTTTCTCCCCCTTCGCGCTTTTTCTTCTCATCTCTGAACATCTCGCGCTGGGGGAAATCGGCTGGCTAATTTTTTTTTTCTTCATTTTTGTTATACAACTGTTGGTCTCCATCGTAATAAGTCGAGTCTTCCCTTTTATGCCCTTTCAGTTTTCCTTTGTCTTCAAGTTTTTTAGCTCTTGGTGGGTTTATTCTTACGCTTGGGGATTTCCAACATCTTTTCTGCGACGGTAATCGATTTCTTTTTAAATCAGGTTCTGGCGCTTTTTGTAATAGGAATGAGTTGAATGAGTTATTCATTTGGCGATTTTGGGGATGTTTTATTTGATTCTCTAGCATTCTCGCAGATTTTCTGTTTTTCGGGGTCTGAGGGTGAGGAAATTAAAGAGGGTTGTGTTGGGAGAATCGTTCGTCACTTGGGGAGATTTTGTGGGGGTAATGAGTCACTCAAGTATTTCCATTGTTTTCTATTTCTTTTTGTTTCACGTTACGCTCGCAGTGGATTCCTGAGTTTCAAAGTTTTCCAACTTTAGGTCATTGCATCAGTTCGCGGTTTTTTTTTAGATCAAGACAGGCTTTTTTTGGATATTGAGGGCATTTTTTATTGGGAATTCATTTGGTGTCGACAGGGGCAGGGGGAATTAATATTCGTGGGGAGTTCGGGGTGGGGTGAAAGCGAAATGGAAACGGAGGGAAGAAATTTGAATGAGAATGGAGTGATTTTTCAACCCTCTTAGCAAGTGGGCGTATTTGGGGTACACAGGTTTAGTCCTCAGGCAAGCATATCGACTGAATATCGACAGAGGAAATCCTGTTTTACGCCCTGCAATACCTTTCTGTACACCTGAATACTCGACCCCTTTTGTTCGGAGTTACATCGTCGTACGCCCATCGATATTATGACCGTATGAAAGGAATGATTCGGCCCTTTAGTTCGTTATTCGAAACGGGGACCTTTGTATAAATGTCTATATTCGGATTGGGAAGGCAGGAAGGGCCGGATATGCAAAGGAGTGGGCGCTGAACAATCATAGAAATTAATTCTGTCTAATAACACGAATCCGAATTATTTTCACTACTTCCGGTGCGACTGGACCCACTAATCTTATCTCCAGTGATAAAAAATCCTGAATGTTATCGCAATATTTTTATAATGGTAAACTATGCGATTTTGGTGGTTTCAAATATTTTCTATTTTATAGTTTTTCAAAAATTTCGAATTTTTCAATTTCAGCGAATACCTCGTCGGTTTTTTCGGAAATTTCGAATTTTCAAATTTCAGTGAATACCTCCTCGATTTTCATGTTCCCCTGATACTTTTTCAGAAATTTCGAATTTTTCAATTTCAGCGGGTACCTCCTCTATTTTCATGTTCCCCTGATACTTTTTCAGAAATTTCGAATTTTTCAATTTCAGCGGATACCTCCTCGATTTTTTTTTGAAATTTCGAATTTTCAAATTTCAGCGAATACCTCTTCGATTTTAATGTTCCCCTCATACTTGTTCAAAAATTGTAAATTTTTCAATTTCAGCAAATACCTCGTCAATTTTCATGTTCCCCTGATACTTTTTTGAAAATTTCGATTTAAAAAATTTCAGTGAATACCTCCATGGATTTTCAAATGATCGAATTACTCGGATGTATTAATCGCTGCTGGATAAAATTTCTCAATTCTTATCTAATGATAAAAAAATCCCGAAATCTCGATTGCTTGTGGATGAATATTCGGTCGTGAGAGTTTTAAACGAAAGGGAAACTCATCGCTCTCGGTGTTGAACGCACGAAGGAGAGGATGTGGCACGAACGAGAGTGAAAGCAAGTGACCTAGAAACCCGAAACAGCCAAAAAAAGAAGGATTCTCCTTTGGTACGAATATATTCGCCTTACACTCCTCTCGGTATAAACGCACCTCCACCGTGGGTTGAGAACCGCCCTTCTGATATTACCCTCTCAACCCCATTCTCCATTACAAGGATCTGCCATTTTATTTGGGCTTGACATCCACTTCGCACTCGGCTTGTCGATTTATTTTATTCCATTTATTTTATTTTATGTGACTTTTATGCACCTCGGATTCAGGGTCGAGAGTGATAAAATACCCTGTGATCAGGGCGACGATTGGCAAGGCTGGACAGAGAGTTCTTTACCCGTATACCAGCGAAATTATACCGTCATTATCAGCAATGACTATTTCTGTGGCGCAGTGTATTCTTTTTTTCGCTT